TACGAATACCTTAATCTTCATTGCCCTCGATCATCGCAGCCTTTGTGACAACAACTGATCCCTGGGCCTGAGAGATTGTGCCATTCAGGTAGATACACTGGCTCTCTTGTTCGATTGCAACTTTCGAGCAAAAGTAATTGTCCTTCCACATGTTTTCCAAAATGGCGCCCACTACCTAAGTACTTAATCACATGGCCTATTAGATGGTGAGCCCATTGGACAGGTTCTCGACTTCCCCGTCAACCACCTCTCAACTTCACCATATCACGCCTCATTTCTCCCTGCCATGTCTCTTCAGACGTCATCTTCAGACTCCTTGTCGTCCAAGAAACGACCCTTATTTTCAGAAATACCGACGTGCTTCTAATCTTAGAAGTGTCAAGATCTCCACCATGCACAACATCGCAGCTCCATCACACAAACCCTTACACCAGCTTGGCTTGCAGCCAATGGTGTCGCTCGACTCCAACTAAGCGCCCACACATAAGCGCTCCCTCATTCTCCTCGCAAACGACGACGTCAAACTCCACGCTGCTGACTGCCCTTCTTCTAGAAAAATTCTCTTCCACCACATGGCATGGTAGTCTTTCCAAACCCATGAATTTTTACACATTCGAGGCGCCTAGGTCTCTATTAATAACTACCGGACCCAACAGCCAGTTCTGCTCCTGATCCTGGCATCTTTGGCCGAGCGAGCGGCCTGCAGATCTCCCTTTCCCCGAAGGCCTGACTACAACCCACTCCCTGTACCCGCGCCGTGCGACATACGCGCCGGACGAGCAGCTACATGTCTAGATTTCTAGCTTTCTCAACATGCAGGGTACGCAAGCGACCATACATCCCGCGCTCTCTAGCCTGATGACAACCTCTTGACGAACCGACGCCCAGGATACCCAAGGCAAGACACGGAGCCGAGCCCATTGTTCCCTGGCGTCACGCCGACGCCTCTTCCTCGTAACCTCCCCATACGTATGAAACTCTTCTCTCCTGCAGAAAAGATCTCGAGATTGCCAATTAGGTCTCTTGCGCGGCCGCCGCTTAACCTTAACGCCTTCCAGTCACACCCCCATCCGTGGCCACAGCAAAACCAGGACCCTGAAATCAGTAGAAGCACGATCGTGGCACGAAGACCTTCACCGACATCATCTCGATCGGCCTCCAATAACTGGGCTAGCCAGTCTCGTCACAGGCGGATCCGGAGATCTAAAGGGCCCTGGCAGCCTCGTGCGTTCATAAAACCCCCCTCACCCTTCCAGCAAACTACATGATCCGGCTCCGAGGCAAGCGACATGCCATGATCAGTCGCCTTCCCAACCGTAACCGCTCTCCGCGTCGATATTTTTAGCTGCCGTTGCTATATTAAGATGATTAGCCTCACCTGCAGCCGCCTATGAGCTGCATCTTGCTTATTGAGACGTCACGTCCTGCGTTGAACTTCATGGGTTCCCCTACACCGAAGGATCACTCATCTCTCTCGCAATCACCTCTATCCCGTCACAATTATAATTGTAAAAAGAAGCGAACTGCAGAGACTTATTCAATTTCTCCCTTTTTTAGTCGTCAAATTTGCCTCCCGTACTCCGTACCCCTGGCATGATATCGTTGTAACAACAACTTACACGATATCTAGACAAACGTGTAAGCGCGGGGCAAAACCGACAAGGTTCCCTCGAGATGCATCATCTTGATATTACCCACTGCCAATCTCTGGCTCTTCTGCATACCTATCGGCGGGGTTTTTTTTTTGGTTTCATGACCCTCCTTCCCTATTGCTACCTCATCCCACTACGACATGGGCACTTCGTCAAGACATGGGCACAGTATCCAGACGTACCCCCGGTCACATCGCCCACGTGAAGCAAAGATGCCTTGCAACGTCGAGCAAAAGCAGCAGTCCTGTTTTCTCATTTTCCTTGTTTCAAGCTTTTGTACATTTTCCCACTAACCCTAGACATACTCCGTAGAGGCGGCGGCTTTTCCCACTTCGCTCTGCCTCGATACCTAAACCGACCCAATGAACTTTGTAGCTTGAAACCTCCCCGTCCCTACCCACACTCCCACGTTCTGGTTCCAAAACATGCCGCCGCCCTTTTGACCAATAATCCATACACCGACACTTTGCGCTCGCATTCCCCTTCTCGTCCCCCCGGTCTAAGAGGAAGGGAAGGGAAGGGGAGGGGAGGGGAGGGGGGTGGTTGGTCACGCGCGGAGATGACTCTTTCGAGGTTCAATCTCAATTTTGTGATTACACATATCGTAAGGCGCTTTATCCATCTTCGTCACGGCGCGTAGCGCCTTACGTAGCGAGGAGGCAAAGTACCTAATTCTCTGACGGTACTTTGACGGTACATGACCTTCACTTCCTTCACTTCTTCTGCCTTTTGGCATTCTTCTCCTCACCTCCGGCGCTCATGACGCTGGCGCTCCGTTTGTGTGTTGCCCCACTACTCCCCGGCCGCGCCGACTTTTCCTTCTCCGCCTCCCCCTTGCCTTCCTCCGTCGCGGCCGGCGCAGCAGCTGCAGCAGCTGCTTTGTCCCCATCCGCAGCGGGAGTTGCCTCCCCGCCGCCGGCGTCTCCGTTGGTTTTGGGTTCATCAACCTTAGAGGGCTCGGCGGCTGCTTTGGGTTCCGCGTTTGCCTCGCCCTCGCCTTCGCCCTCGCCTTCGCCCTCGCCCCCTGCGGCGGCCTTGTCCTTCTTCTCTTCTGTAGACTGGCCTTGACCTTCCCCTTCCTTCTTCTCAGCAGCCGCGTCGGGCTCTGGCTGGTTCGCCTTCTCACGTTCCGCCTTCTTCGCAAGCTCGAGCTTGATCTCGGCGTCAATCTTGTCCGTGACCTTTCTAGCATCAAGCAGACTATTGACGGCGCCGAGCAGGAGCTCGTATTGGGCTGTTACCGGTGCTGTGGGCATAACCAGCCTTGGTGGGATGTCGAGCTCGTTGAGTGTGTTCATGATGCGCAGTTGCTGCTGATTCGACTTGTGTGTGAAGAGCTTGTTGATCTTCTCGTAGCGGAACGTCGGTCCGCTGGACAGGCGATCGTGGTGCGTTACGCCGTAGACGTGCATCTCGGCATCGTTGAGCTTGCGGCGTTCCTGCTGCTGCTGGCCCTTCTTTCCGCCTGCCGGCGCCGTCGGTGTCTGCGCGACGCTGCTGGGAGGTTCCTTGTGTGTTTTCTCCGCCGGGGTCGCAGCCGCCGCAGCAGCGATGCTCTCGCGGCGGTCTTTGTTGTCTGTTGACGCGGCCGTCGCTGTCGCTGCAGCCGCGGGCTGTTGACCCGCGGGCGCGGAGGGGCTGACGCCGTCCGCTGCCATGAGCGACTTCCGCTTTTTGGACTTGTCGGCATTCATCAGGTTCTGCAGGAGAGTTTGTAACCCAGCACTGGACTTGAACGCGCTGATGTCCTGGTCGGTGTGTGGGTAATCCAGACGGTTGTAGAGCTCCCGACGCTCCTCGTTGAAACGGTCACTGCGCGCGAGGATGCGCTTGATCTCCAGCAGTAGTGATTCCTCCTCCTTGGCTTCCTCCTTGCTCCGGGTGAGCGCGTTGTTGGCAAAGTCCTTGCGCTGCTTCTCTTGGTTGGCGTTGAAGTTGGCCATGAGCTCGTGGAGGGTGTACTCGGGTTGCGTCATGTACTGAACGGGCTTCTGCACCGCCATCATCTTTGCCGCAACGTCGTAGTAGCGCGCCTTGAGGTCCTCCATAGTCCTTGGTTTCGGCACTGGGATGATAGCCTTACTCTCGTCCCCGTCTGCCGACGCCTCTCCGTTGATTGCTTCTGGCAAGTAGTCGTACCGGTCCCATATAATCGGCCACCGTAGGTCGAAGTCCTTCACGAGCCCTAGCAGGTAATCCGTCTCCTCCTTGCTCCAGTCGTCGTTTTGCAGGTTCGTCCGGTACTGGTCTTCGCTATACTGCGGCACATCCACTTCAACGTTGAACTTCGCGAACATTGAGTTCTCGGGCTTCACCGCCGCCTGCTCTCCTTCCATATCCTTCATGTCGCCATCGCCACCTTGGTGCCCATTTTCCGTAGCCGTTGGTGTCTTGCGTTTCCAGTGCTTCAGTACTAATGCGCCGCTGTCGCCCCGTGCCGAGTTTGTGAAGGGCTTAAGTTCCCATTTTGTCGCTGGTTTCCTGCTTGCGAACCGCCGCTTCTTGAAGATCGATACTTCGGGAACGATGGCGATCGGGTTGTCTCCGCCCAGATTCTGGACCTCACGGGCGAGACCCTTGAGATTTGGACGCGGGCCTGACGTCTTTTGTTTCTTCGCCGGTCGGGGGCCTCCGTGACTGTCGGGGAGATTGAGGACGTCTCGCACGTCGGAGGACGTCATTATTGCGGTAAGTAGGGAGGGAGGGGGTTTTGGCTGGAAAGTAGTTGCGATGCTGCGCGACCGGTCGGAAGGGCGGATTTTATTTTTCGATTGACGATTGCCACTAGTCCGCTCGATGGCATCAATTTATCGCTGGGTCGTACACATGCATCAAGGGGACGGGTATCATGAAGATCTTTTCAAAGTATTTCGTCGATTACGGTGGTCTTCGTGGGGTCATTGGGTGGAATCCGATGAAGAGAGGCGGAGGATTAGGATTGTTTCTGTCCTTCAATGTCTCCGAAATCTCGAATTCAAAAAGGTACATTTCTTTGGACGCGCAGGTCGCATTGGCAGGCGCGCAGTCTGTCGTTTGGGGACCGCACGTGATCCACTTCCTCCCCCAAGTCCCAAGTGGTAGTGGCCAATGCCACCCCTGTTCCACCACCAATTTTTCGAACGTGGCAGCTTTGCAACTTACTCCCGCGCACCCTGGGACTTTAATGTGGGTATCCGAGCGAACTGGCTGACCTGGCGCTGCCGACTCGAAGAAACGAAGCATTTCCAATTCAACCCCCTCGATAGCCGACAGACGACGAGCACCACGAGTTCGAATCGACTCTGCCCCGAGAAACCTGCGGTTCGCCCTCCAACTCATTAGTGACATTTAACTTCCGTCGTCGACAACATGAGGCCATTTCTCCCCTTGCTCTCGCTGAGCGCAGTTGCACAGGCGCTGTACTTCTACATTGACGGCACGTCGCCCAAATGCTTCTTCGAGGAGCTCCCCAAGGACACGCTCGTTGTTGGTCACTATACTGCCGAGGAGTGGGATGACCGGATCAACCAGTGGGCCAAGCACGATGGCCTCAGCATCTACATTTCCGTTGACGTAAGTTAACCCCCTGGTTCTCGCATCCCCCCTTTGGAGCTACCACATAGCTATGGGCACATAGGTCACTCTTACTGGCGTACCCATAAGAGCAAGAAGGAATAAACGCTGACCATTCATCTCGTAGGAAACCTTCGACAACGACCACCGTGTAGTTTCCCAGCGCGGCCAGGCATCAGGCCGTTTCACCTTCACGGCTGCCGACGCCGGCGACCACATGCTCTGCTTCACCCCGTCTTCCACCTCTGGCCGCGCCGGCTGGCTCTCGCTCCACTCCCACAACGGTGGCATTCGTCTGACACTTGACCTCGCTATTGGTGAGAGCACCGAGATCGAGAGCTCCGACAAGAGCAAGCTCGAGGATATCGCGACCCGCGTCAAGGACCTCAACGCTCGTCTGCAGGATATTCGCAGGGAGCAAGTCTTCCAGCGTGTAAGTCTCCCACCATTAGGGCCGAGAAAAAAGCTTTCTCTCTCAATCTTTGGGATGGGAGAGATGGCGCCAATGGTGTATCAAGGGACTATGTAATGCTAACGAAAACGAAACAGGAACGCGAAGCCGAGTTCAGAGACCAGTCCGAATCCACCAACGCCCGTGTCATCAGATGGATGCTTATCCAGCTTACCGTCCTCGCTGTTACCTGCACCTGGCAATTGTCTCACTTGCGGTCATTCTTTATCAAGCAGAAGCTCACATAAGAGAAACAACAATAGGGGTTGGGGCGTGCTTGTTGCGCTCCGCAAGAGCAGAGAAGGGTCCATTGGCCATGCTCAGTGCTTGATAGAGCCTCGTCAAGAGGGAGGGAGGCTTCCAAATTGCTCAGTACGTCAGACCACTGCGGTCAGGGGCTGGGCAACGGATTTGTAATGATATACACACCAATTGTAGCTACGAAAAGCGAGGCTCGGTCAATGAAGCATACGTCGAATGTCAGTATTCTAGCTTGTGTCTTGCGCAGCAAGGCATCCAGTTATTGTGCACACTAAAACCCACATATGGCGATATTTTCCAAGTTTGTGAAAGGGCTAGTCCTCGACTATTCGTCTATCAGCTGGCGTTGAGAGATAGCTTTCATTGACAGCTGGACGCGCCACATACGCACCCGTTATCTGACGGAATGGATGTAGCAAGCCCGGCCGCGCGTGAATCTCAGCTCATAGTAAAGCACTTGAGCCTCTTGTCATCGCTCGACTTCACAAGCAAATTCTTTGGGAGGGATAGCGCGACTCTGCTCATCTAGGATTTCAACTAACACCGTTCCAGGGTGGCAATAAGTAAGGGCTGTCTCATCTGATCGCCAGCAAGCGACGTGAAGGTCTAGTGAAAAAACCGATCAAATCTGCAGCAGGACAGACCAAGTAATGCCCTGAGATGTTGAAGATCAAAAGTGAGTGGCGAGGCACATGGGAATAGGATGGGATGAAATGTGAAGTTGGGCTGGTATTCCCACCTGGTCTTTTACCAAACTGTTAGGCAATTGTGGAATGAAGATGTTGACCTTGTCGTCTGTTTGAGGCTCACAATACTGGAGTGGTAGAGACATACAATAAACCTCCGTGTATACCACCCACACGAGGGGAATCAAGTTATGGCGAGCGCTGTTGAGACAGGAGACCACAGAGCTTCGTGCTTGCTAGCGGCCTTGTCACATCATCCCAAGCTTCTATTGAACCCCAAGTTCACCTTTCGAAGTAACCTTTACCTGCATAATTGGGAATATCTTGGACTGATCCAAGGCCTGGATACCCTCCCATAGGTGAAGCCCGTGAAGTAGATTCACAAACGAGCCTTATAGTAGACACCAGGTAACAGGCAAATCGAATGAGTCGAACATTGCCCGTCATGTGTGGTAGATAAGAAGAGTGGGTATATTGCCATTCAAAAACAATCCAACGTCTCGTCAGCTCCTAAAGCCATTTCCAGCCGCCAGCCGGCGCCGATCACAGCACGCTCAGCCTCCCCTTCACCTCAGGACCGAGCGGCAGCTCAGCCATCCTCTGCTCCTCAAGCTTCTTCATCTCGTCCAGCGTCGCCCTCCGCGTGAGGGCGTTCTCCATCTTCCTCAGCGCGAGCTCCCTGTTGACCAGCCGAGAAAAGGCCCGGAGCGTAAAGTCGTCCGCCTCGTGGCCCGAGGCCTCGAGACGCTGCAGGGACAGCACCGTCTTGTTGACGTCTTGAGCCCTCGCATAGCCCGCGATCAGTGTGTTCCAGGTGACCAGGTTCGGCTCGACGCCGTGCTGGCGCATTTGGGCGAGGATTCGCTCACCGGATCCCTTCTCCTTGCTGAAGCCGTGCAGGAGGATGCTCCAGGTGAAGACGCTTGGAGCAGGGTGCAGTGGCGGTGGAGCAACCTCGCTCTGCTTGTTACCGCTCTCCTGGACTTTGTTCAGCTGGACTTCGATATTCTGAGCCCCGGTTTGTTGAACCTCAGTCTCCTGGACCCCAGCCTTCCTGCTGTCCCTTCTCCCCTTCGAGGATTGCTTCGCTGCATCGGCTGCTCCGCTCCGCTCTTCAAGCGTGTACTTGAGCATGTCACCGACAATATCCAACGCAGCACGGAGCATGCCTGGGTGCTTGCAGAGCGCCTTGATAAGGACATCGTACATGAATGACCCCTTCTCCTGGACCAGCTTGGTGGCGCCGGGGCTGCCCTTCAGGATCTCCTGTCTGAGGTACGCGTATAGCGAAATGAGGTTGATGGGCTGCGACATGCTCCTCACGTATGCGAGAAACATGATGCTCAGGGTTGCACTCGTCGGTTCCATCTTCTCATGGACGGCGGACATGGCCCTGTCAAGTGCAGGGAATAGCTGTCGAGCCAACTCCCAATCCGCTGGCATCTGCAGGCCTTCCTGGCCCTCGAGGTACATTGATAAGTCCACAGGAAGGAGAGCCTGTAGTGGTGCCAAATGGAACACCTTTGAGTAGAAGTGCAGCATTGGCCCAAAGGCCGGCATGACACCGGGCGTCCACTTACAGAAGTGAAGCAGGCACATCAGTAGGTCGTTGAAGAAGGGGACATCGATCTCGTGGCCCTCGACAGCTCCTATGACGGCAGATTCGATACTCGACGGTGAAAGAGCTCGCTTTCCCCCATCTAACAGAGTAGACCACATGATCATGTCTGGTTCAAAGTTGTGCCGTTGCATAACCTGGAAGACCTCCTCTGCAACTTCATTTTGATCTGTCAGGCACAGCGACCTGATCACTGCCGTATAGTGTACCATATTGGGAGCAAAGCCATGCTCTATAAGGGTGACAAATGCGTCCGCAGCCGAAAACCCGTCGTCGACCTTGATTTGGCCACGCTTGAGACTCAATATCGAGGTACACAAAGATGCCCACAGGCCTGAGTCGAGATCAACACCTTGGTCTGGAATAGAGTCGATGGCCATCTGCAGAGCCAAGTTCTTATGCAGAGGGCTGACTGCAAGTCGTCTGGCCATGTTTTGGAGAGTATTGCTGTGTAACTGGACATCCTTTTCTCTCCAACAATCGTAAAGGGCTATCAAGATGGGCAAGTCTACTTCATGCGTCAGCATGTAGATGGTGTTTTGCCTCAGAGGGATATAGGCCGCAGGTAGACGCTCAAAGACCGTCACAACCACGTTACAAAGATGTCTCCTCTGCTCGGTAAACTCAGGCTTGGATAGTTGACTTTGCCATTTTGCGAGGAAGTGAATAGCATCACTGATGGCATAACCCGGCGGCTTGATATCGCGGGTGGTAATTTCGAGGATGGCTGCAGCCCGATCAGGGCAAGACCATAAAGCAGAGAACATGAGCTTTCGCCACTTTATCTTCTTCTGCTCCTCAGTCCAAGTCGGCCATTGCTCGATCGTGTCTTCAACGGCTTGACGGTCTTGGATCCAGCTGAGGACTTTCGGGACTTTATAGCCTTCGCCGAAAGATGCGAATCCGTACAGCCTTTTACAGTCGTTCTTCCAATTCTCAAAGTCTTTCAACTCCTTCTTGGTCATGCGATGGCGGAGGTACCCATATTCCAGGTATCTTCTCTTTCTCTCTTTTACAAGCTCAGAAATCCATGTGTCGGCATTTCCTGATGTGAACTCGTATTTCTTCTTCCTCTCTCCTCCATTCTTAGGGGACCATGTGTCGATATTTTTCGAGGTGAACTCTGTTCGCCTCCGGCTTGCTTCGGCATTTATGGGTGCTCCGATAGGCGTTGGCGCGTTTCTCGATCCTGGCTCGACTAATCTTTTTATCTTGCGAATGCGAAACGGCCGTTCTGTGGAGGGTTCTACAGCGGAAGCGGTATTGGGTCGAGCTTGGAAGGAGGTTTGGATATAACTATTCGCTGTGAGGTTGCCGCGTTGTCGGATGTGTCGTAGACATTGTCGGCTTGCTAAGGAGTGCGACATCGCAGGTGTAGTATCGGGGCGTTAAAGCCAGAGCTTCGAGTCGTTACGGATAGGTATAGCTTCGCCGGCATTCGAGCGACGACGGCGCCACCGTGGTTTTGTTAACTGTCTTGGAGCATCGGGGGTAAGGTATCCGTAGTCTGTGGCTGTAGTCGTTGAACTGGAGTCTTATTGTTTTTTTTTTTTGCGACAGACAGTAGCTTCTCCTAGACGCCTGGGGAGCTAATTGCGATTTTGAAGGATGAAAGACCGTGCATCCGCTAGCGCATTTCGTGGAAGTATCCCGCCGTGGTAGCAGTGGCTCGCCCCACTACGAACCGAACTTGAACTTTCAACCATCAAACTCTCGATTGGACGCGCTCACCAAAAGCCATAACCTCACCTACACACCAATTCGAAGAATATCCGACCGACCTACCTACCACAATATTGTTCATTGCGATAAGCCTTTCTCAACTACAGCATCATGTCGAGCTCCCAAGCCACACTAAGCGCGGTAACAGACGAGCGCAAAGCGCGCCTCGCCAAGCTCAAGAACCTCAAGAGAAAACAACCAGCGGATGAGATCGTTGCGCCAGAGTCAGAACGCGCAGCCTCGCCCCCAACAGAGCCGGACGTCACAAAACTGCACCTTTCCGGGCGCAACTACGATCCAGAAACGCGTGGTCCCAAGCTTGGCTTCGAGGCGCCCCCGACCCAAGACCTAGAGAATCCTACACTCGAAGAACTCGCGGCAGACATCGAGGAGGATGTGAAGCAAAAAGCAGCCGAAGAAGCGCAGGACGACAAGGGTATCGACCTGTTCAAGCTTCAACCGAAAAAGCCGAATTGGGACCTGAAGAGAGACTTGGAGAAGAAGCTGGAGATTCTTAACGTTCGGACGGACAATGCCATTGCGAAGCTGGTGAGGGAACGCATCACAGGGGCTCAGAAAGCGGCTACACAGACCAAGCAAGTCGACGCAGGGAGTAGAGAGGGCGACGCAGCTGGAATTGATGGTATCGCATTAGTGGAAGGAGTGCGCGTACGCGAGAGGGAAGAAGAGGACGAGAGACGAGAGGAGGACGAAGAGGATGAAGATCTGGCTGTTTAAGCAGCAAACCCTGGCGTGAGTGGTAGAACGCCTTTGTATTTTACAGTTGCGGAGCAGGCATAGACTCCATTTGGCCTACAGATAATTGATACCCAATAGCTACCTATTCAGGGACTGTGTCAACGCCAGTCTCTTGGAAAATGGACTGAGACTGCGCTCTCTTTCTGGCTGTCGCTCAGATCCACCACCCTGCCTTTGGTTCCCACCACCTCGGCCCAGTGTAGGCTGAGGCTCGTCTCGATATCCGTCGTTTCTGCCAGCACGTCGACTTGGGCCGCTTTGTGGCCTCGCACCACGACGATCGGGGGACCGGGACAACGATCGCCTGCTGCCAACAGTATCGTTACCACGTCCTGAGGTGGATGAATCCCTGGAATTGGGCGAGTAGCGCGCATGACCCCTGGCCGTTGGTTTAGCGTGACCCGCATCCCTCTGACGATAGTTTTGCTCCTGGGTTCCGACGGGTGAACGACTGTCCCGCGAGAGAGATCTCTGGCGGCGTCGAGGCGGAGACTGAGTCCGTCTGCTTGCTGCTGACTTTCTTGAGACAGAGCGACCATCATCGCTCTCCGGACTAAACGACCTCTGTCTCCGCGGAGCAGGGGGAGACGGTGAGCGCCGCCTAGGCGGAGGCGAGACAGAGCGGTTTGTTGAGATGGTGGAAACGGAGTCAACAGATTCAGATCGTCTGCGCTTAGTGTCTGTTTGCCTAATAAGCTCGTCGTCTCTCTCGTCTTGCTCCCTCTTTCTCGCTCTCTCAGCCTCCTTCTTCGCAAGCTCTTCATCAGCGATTCCTTTCCTACTCCACGAATCAGCTATGTTGAACACATGAAACGTAAACAAGGGTGAGCAACTGACTTTCTTTGCGCGTCATCTGGCGTGTCGTTTGTCAGTCTGGGCATCAGCTTCGGATTGCGTAGCTGTTGAGTTCGGGACGGCCGAGACACATATGGTCGGGCCGTAGCCGACTCCTTGCACTCATAAGAGTAGTGACGTTCTGTGAGAGTCAGCTTAATGCTTGCAACGTATGGCTTGCTTGTAGACTTATCTCTTTTGAGACACTTTTGACATTGCACATTTGCTGGAGTGGACTGGCGAGGTCCGCCACGGCCTCTGTAGGGGTGCATTGGATAGATTCGCTACTTTAGCGAAGGATTTGCCGTGATGTATTAGCCGTCGTCGCGCTGGCGTCTTCAATGAGGCTCTTGACGGAATCGCACTGTTGTAAGTCTGAACGGCAATCCGGGGTCCGGTATGGTGAGATCAAGCAGATGATATTCTCTTCTGTTTTCTCGCTTGGGGTGCGAGCATTTGGTGCAAGACTGGTGTTTGATTATTTGAGACGGATTCTTTCCGTTATCAGCTGAATTACAGTTGAAACTAGGTCTGTCGAATGTGGTTTACTTCAGCGATGGAGGGTTGAGGTTTGGCTCCAGACGCTTATGTAACAGTAAGATGGAGGAAAACATCGGAAAACCTGCACCAGCCCCAACTGCACCAGCCACAGACCTAAGGTTTCTATTAGGAATCTGCCGGCACTAAGCCACTCTCGGCACAGCCTACGGTCTTTTTGTCTCTCACCAACCAACCTACCCTACCCAGGCCCGATACCTGCTTGATGCTCATTAGAATTCCCGAATCCCAATCACACCCGACTCTTCAGTCTGACGTCCCACAAGACGTTGCGGAGGGGATGGCAGCCGTCTGACACCACTTTTATCGACTTGAGACCGTTGTCCGCTCGATTGGGAGTTGCCAGCACTGAAGCTTCTCCCTAAGGTTCTCTACTACGTCTCTGCGACCAGAGATACCTAGCGACTGAGAGTACAGACAGAGCGTGTGTATGTGTGAGAGGGCCACGCAACACGAGTGAGAGATTGAGACACAACGTTGTCATCAGACTACGGATATCAGTACCTATTGAACTTAGCGAGTGAGGAGTGCGTGAGTGATTGGACTCGCACTGCAAATTACGAAGGGTGAGTGAACCAGAAGCTGAGAAGTCGTTGGCTCCGTTCTCCAGTTTCCCCATCCTCTTTTTCCCTTTGCAGCGCATCCCAAAAACCCACACCACAGCTCTGCCAATTCCCTCCCACTACCTTAAACCATTGTCTGCACCACACCACCCACACCACACCCCTCTCCCCCAAGCCCGTGACGGACTATCCGCCTCGCAGGCCGCCAAAATTTCACGTCGCCTCGTCTCAACCGCTGCGCGCCTATCTATCAGCTTCCTGCAACCAAATCTTTCCCACAGCCACTGACGGATAGTCACTCAGGCGCACATATATCCGACGACGAAACACGCAACGGACAACTCCCATTTCTCCCCTGTAACGAGAAACTGGGTCCATCATTCATCCAACATTCAGGAATACAACAGCTACGATGACGACCTTGTCCCGACGATGATCCACGGTATTTCTTCCTCTGCAGGCTCGCCTTGATCCAGTTTGTTCCTTGCTTTCGGACCTCGTCTTTAATTCTTTTTCGACTCGGACTCTTATTTCGTCTCGTCGCGCGCCTACCCTTCTATCTGCGCGAAGCTACTTCAGTGGACGACTTTCATTTCCATCTTACTACCCACGGCTGAAGTTGAGCCATCCTCCGACCCTCTTCTCCGGCTATGGCTACAGCCCAGATGTCGTCTGACATTCCTAAGCCATCTTTCGCAAAGGTGCGATTTGCTCCCGAGCTACCCCTCGTTCTCGAAGCTTTGCAGTTGCCTAGTGATAAATGCTGACAATCTCTGCGCTATTCTAGGTCGCTGCATCGGCATCAAAAGATTCCCAACCCGTCACTACTGTCAGATCAGTTGCTGCGCCAGCTCAAGACCGCACCAGCCAAGCTTCTCCTACCGGTGCTGCCTCTATACCCGCGTCTGCCACTTCAGACGCAGTTGATACTCGCCAATCCGCAAACATGAACTCCACGAAGTCTGCGCCGACTGTCGCTAAGCGCGAGCCCACCCTATCCAAGAAGCCCGATGCGACCGGTGCCGTGTTGGATGGATTGAAGGATTTGAGCATTGGACAACCGACACCGAGCCTTGTTGTGAACGGAACGGGCTCTTCATACGCTGAGCGATCAAAATCTATAACCAAGGATGGGTCGGACGACTCCCAGAGAGCTGACTCCAGCTCGGAGCTCGGTACCAAGCCTCCCAGTCTGGACGGAAAGAGTATCACGTCGGGAACGACCTTTGCGCTGGACGAGAAGGAGTCCCTGAGGCCGGATGACAGCGCAAGCGTCAAAGCCGCCGCTGCCGAGGATGACGATTCCTTCTCATTCCGAGGGCCAAATTTACCAAACTCCAGAATGGGTTCCGACATTGCGGCGCGTGCTAGAGGCATCATCCAGCTTGGCGACATGCCCGACCGCCGTCTAGCCCAACCCATCTCTGGATCCTTAAGCCAAGGCATGATCACACCGCAGAGTGCTTCGTCAGATCAACCACAGATGCCCATTCCCAACGCTCTGTCGGCTAATCTCCCCGACTCTGCCAATCTCCTGAATACCATCTACGGACAGGCACCGGATGAGAAGCTCTTGGAGGCTATGGCTTCCCCGAAGGATCGGCTGTTTCTCTTGCGATTGGAGGCCGAATTGATCAAATTTGTTCAAAATTCAAAGTGAGTACCGATGGATTGAATCAATGTGCAGTTATTAACAGCGATATCAGAGACCCATACATGGACTTTCCACCTTCAAATTCATTTTGTAGGATGCTCACACATAAGCTGGCTGATTACTACCGCATGACGCATCAGTATGAAGCTCGTGTGGGATCTGTCCGAATTTTCAGAACCCCTTACGCCAGAGTACCTGAGTCGCTTGCTAGTATCGCTGCTCCAGAAACCAATGCCGAAACGCCTCCTCCTCCAGCGGTTCTGCCGCGGAAGATCATGCGACGTGGGGAGGATGGGGAATTCGGGAGTAATAGCGCTTCTCCATCCAAGGCCACCTCTGAGACCGGCAGTGACTCTAAGGATAAGTCTGCAGCGGCAAATCAAAAGTATATCACCCTCCCCTCTCGAATGATTGCAACCTGCTGACTTGTTCAGATTGTCGAGAGAACAACGTGAAGAAGCGTACAAGCAAGCCCGAGAGAGGATATTCGGCAATTCTGAGAAGACTGGCGAATCCACGCCTGGTATGTGTGACCCTCAACATTGCCTTCGAACTACCACTGATCGTGTTCCAAGATAACGAGATTGAAAATGGCGTTTCACGTGCCAGCTCCGTCTCTGCGAGGGAGAAGCCTGGTGTCAGCAAACGGGGCAAGACTGGGAAACAGAGACGGGATGATTCAGACAGCTTCGACTCGAGGCACAACTACACTCCATACTGGGGCCCGCAGCAACAGACTTGGGTGCCTCAACCTCAGTATGTTCCTGTGTCAAACCAGTATGGTGCGCCAGTGCAGCAGCCGTATCCCAACCAGATCCCGGCAGCCCCTTACAACACTACACCGACGCAAACATTTGCTCCCATGATGCCTAACGCGGGCTACAATGCAGGTTATCCTAATATGACACCGGTAAGCAAACCTTTCCGCCCTCAACTTCAGAAAGCTGATCGGAATTAGTATCCGCCTCCGGCAAACCAGGCCCAATTCCAAGCCCCTCCGAATGCAAGGAGCTATGGTGGTTCTGGCCCTACTCCTCCACAGCAAGGTTGGCAACCACAGCCAGGGTTCGGACCGGCGCCGGTGCCGATGACTCCACCTTCGACGGCCAATGCCACGGCTTACACGCCTCGGGGCATGTCGGCGCCACCCAGTCAAAGCACTGTTCCGTACATGTATGGGCAGTTGCCGGCCAACATCAATCCGAACGACCCAAAGAGCCAGCATCCCATTCCCGGCAGCTACAATCGCCACGCCTTCAATCCCAAGACGCAGTCATTCGTTCCTGGGGGTGGCATGTCTCCAATGCAGCCACCACAACCGCCATTCAGTGCTCCTGGATCTCACCACGGTAGCCCCCAGATCGGCTCACCTCATCTGGCATATGCCGGCTACCAGCAACAAGGACCACCAGCACCTTATGGCTATGCCATGGCGAGGCAAGGCTCGAACAACTCGATTCCTTCCTACCACCCGCCTCCGCCCCAGCACCCTCACCACTTGAACCCTATGCCCCAAGCACCGGTTCATCATATCCCCCAACATCCCCCTCAACATATCCCACAAAACCCCTCCCCTCATATTCCCAGTAAACCCGCCATCCCTCAGGGTCCGGCCGGACAGACGTTCAGCCACCTGCCTCACTACGGCAACCCTGCTACTTTGCCGCAAAAGCCAAACATGGGTATTTAGGTACGCGCTTGATGTTGTTGGACGGTCCATGGCAGAATGAACGGCGTACAGGGGTTTTAAAGGTACAGCATATTGGCGTTCACACAGGAGGGATAGGATGGCATCAGATCATGTAGGCTATTGCATGCTAGAACACTTACGCACCTTAATTATCATTCGAACCTTTTTCAAAGTTTACGTACGCAGCACCCTCAACAGACGTCTCTTGTGTGTGTGTGTGTGTGTGTGTGTGTGTGTGTGTGTGTGTGTGTGTGTGTGTGTGTGTTGGATATTTGCATGAAAGCGTGAATAATCATCATTGCAACTGCCTAGCGCATTCTACCCTAGGCCGTCTAATTCTGCCACTGCCATAACGCCATGATGGTTTTATCAAGTGTGGGTTCCTCATGATGCCATGCTTGCTAACCTTGCGGCAGAAAATCCCCAGCATCGCGGGCTAGCTTGTCCCAGGTCTCTTTCAACCTCTCGAACTCCTATTCTCCTTTTTAGGGGGGTTAGGTTTGTTTTAATCCTCTCTTCCACATGGCTTTTTTTGCATGTAAAAGGGGGAATTCCTCTCTTTTCTTTTCTTTTTCAAACAAATTAGCTTGTCCGCTTTTTTCCTTTACTCGGTAGGTTCCCTCGGCTCGCGAGGCTCGCGGGGCTCCCTAGGCTCTCCCCTCTGACCGCCACCACCACGGCCGCCGCCGCGTCCACCGCGCTTACCGCCGCGCTGACCACCCCGCTGCTGCTCGCCCTTCTCGCCGCCCTCGGTCGTCTTGCCCTCGCCGTCCTTCTCGCCGCCGGTGAGGTTGGCAACAGCCAGCCGTTGCGACAGGTCGATCTGGGTGCGGATGGTGTTGGCCAGGTAGGAGACCATGAGGACGTCCTGGATGTGGTTGTTGAAGTCGTGCTCAATCTGCTCGGGGTCGACCTTGGGGGCGAGGGAGAGGGCGTTCATGAGGTACTGGCCTAGGGCCTGGTTGGGCTCCTCGTCCTCGTCGAGGATGCCATTGACCCAGTCGCTGACGCGCTCGATGAGGTTAGCACCGGACTCGATGGAGCGGGCGAGACCCTCAATGTCGGAGACGACGGGGGCGGTGCGGTCCTCGGTGTCCTTGGCCATGGAGATGGCCTCGAGGGCGCTGCGCTCGGCGTCGCCGTACATGAGCTTGTGGGGCACCTGGATGAAGAGGCAGCTCTCGGCGGCGCGCTCGGCGTTGACGGCTACGGGGGCGGAGATGTAGCATCGGGCCTCAATGTCGGAGGTCGGGTCGGTGCTGATGGTGAGGTGGACGGCGGGGTGGGGGAAGGTGCCGGTCTCGGGGGAGGCGAAGAAGTTCTGGATCAGGGCGGAGAAGGAGTTGAGCTCGTGGGTGGTAGTGTACCAGCCCAACAGGGACTCGCGCGGGTTGGCCTTGAGGGTGAGGGCGAGCATATTCTTCTGGTAGTCGACGTCCACCTCGACCTGGTCCTCGTTCTCGGTGTGGGGGATGGCGAAGCAGGAGCGCACTTCGACCTCGGTGCCATCTTCGGAGCGGACACCAACGAGGGCGCCGATAACGCGGGTTGATTGCGTATCGCGGATGTCTCTTCGCACGGCATGGTCGAGAATGGAGAGGATGGCCTGGAAGGAGGTGGGGTTAGCGACGAGTAATTAAAATTCCCCACGGGGGGCAAGCTGTATTGATGATGGATGTGTATATATGTCATGGCCTTTTCAAGGTCTATGACATGTCTCGGGTAATGGTATCAGGTCCTGCAGCGTAGCAAGAGGTGTCGTACCTGGGGTTGGATGTTGACGGTGAGCGGGGCAATGTTGCCTGGGATGCCAATCGTGGCCGGCGCGATGGGCCGCGAGAGGTGGAGGAACTTCTCAGTTTCGGCGACAGCCATGCTGGGCAGGTTGGATCTCGGTCGTCGAGGTTCTTTCGAATGGGGGAGACCTGCGTTTGAGGAGGAGTTATCGAGAAGAGGAGGGGAGGGGGAGGGCGGGTTTCGGGTTGGTGGTGATGCGCGGGCCAAAAATTGAAGAGTGGGTTTGGGGTCTTTGGTCGGAGCGTTTTTTCGCGATAGGTCGCTTCAAAAAATCGTCGAACTCTTTCGCTTTCTCCTAGTGGGCAGTTTGCCGATTTTGCGATTTGTGGTTGGCCCCTACTGGGTTGTGCGCGCTAAGATAAGACACGATAACGGTATCTGTGGCGTAAGTGCCCCGCTGTGGCTGGTGCCTAGAGTGGGATTTTCTGCAAGGCTGATATGGCCGACTTACAACTTTTTTTCCCGTCGACCAGGTGAATGAGTTTTTCTTCGGTGTACAACTTTTTTCTTAACCTATTTCTTTGAAAGCTCATATCTCGCTGTCTGTTCTCACGCTGGATTTTCCAGTGACAGAGAATAAGATATAATGGGCCCAAGAGGTAGAGGTCGGGCCGGATTCCGGGGAGGAAGCAGAGGCGGTGCCCGTGGCGGTGGCAGAGGAGGTGCAAGAGGAGGTGCAAGAGGAAGAGGTGGCGCAAGAGGTCGAGGTAGAGGAAGAGGGGGTAGAAGGTTCGATACTGCGCGTCTGGAAGAAAAAGAGTACGTTTGATCTCCCCGAACATTTTGTGAAAATTTGTGAAAATCTAACACCATTAGGTCTTCGGATGACGAGTCTCAAGAAGAGGGAGATTCTGAGGCAGAGGAGGATTCCGATGTCTCCATGTCTGATGATGAGGATGAAGATGAGCAGCCTCAAAATACACGGCCTTACATGGCGCTCCTCCAGGGATTCAAGGAATCTTCAGAGCCAAGTGCCAAAAGACGGAAGCTCGAGGGCGGCAAGGCAGAAATCATGGCGAAAGCCGAGTCTGAGTCTGAGTCTGAGTCTGAGTCTGAAGCTGGGTCTGGATCTGATGGCGATGAGGCCGGGGAGGAAGACAAAGATGTCGACAGGGTCGAGGAGGCTGAAGACCCAATGGCTGATTTGGAGGAGGAAGCGGAGCAGAGCGACGATGAAGACGATGTCGATGCCTCAGATCCGTTCGACAGCCACTTCGCTACCCCTGACGAGGTTGTGACGGCGAAGAGAGTCAAGGCGATCCAGAAGAATGACTGGACTTTCAAGCGGACAATGTCTAAGGTTTCAAAGGCCGTGGTGACATATCCTCAAGTGGAGGGATCGGACGTCCCGACGATTCCCTCGCCGATCTCTGGTTTGGATAGCCTCAAGCTCAAGCAAAAATTGCGGGATACCGCCTCGAAGAAGATGGGCTCGCTCGACACGCTGCAACGAGGCATTGCCCCGACGATATTCAATTATAACGACGTACTGTACGATAACCGAAACACTCAGAACTCCAATGGCTTACGGCAACTTGTATGCTTACACGCCGTCAACCACGTCTTCAAGTAAGGGACCTGCCTTGGCCTTGATTGCCTCCGGAATTTCAAATGCTTACATACATACAGAACCCGAGATAGAGTCATCAAGAACAACTACAAACTCTCGAGGGAAGAGAATGCCGATCTCGAGCTCAGAGACCAGGGCTTCACTCGCCCCAAGATCCTTTTCCTACTGCCAACAAGACAGTCCTGCCTGAAGATTGCAAACACAATCGAGGACATGTGTGCGCCGGACCAGCGGGAGAACAGGAAGCGTTTCGACGACGCCTACACCGACGAGGACGTCAAATTCGGAGACGACAAGCCCTCCGACTTCCGCGACCTTTTCGAGGGCAACGACGATGACATGTTCCGTATCGGCATGAAGTTCACGCGCAAGACCGTCAAGTACTTTTCGCAATTCTACAACTCGGACATCCTCCTCGCCAGTCCCCTGGGCCTCCGCATGGCCATCGGCTCTGACGAGGACAAGAAGAAGATGGACTACGACTTCCTCAGCTCCATCGAGATGGTCGTCGTCGACCAGGCCGACGCCCAGCTCATGCAGAACTGGGAGCACGTCGAGTACATCTTTGAGCACATGAACCTCCAGCCAAAGGACGCCCACGGCTGTGACTTTGGCCGCGTGCGCAGCTGGTACCTCGACGACCAGGCAAAATACTTCCGCCAGACCATCGTCCTCTCTGGCTTCAACACGCCCGAGCTCACCGAGCTCTTCCGCACGCAGTGCTATAACTGGGCCGGCAAGGTCCGCTTCCAGGCCGACTACCCGGGCGTCCTCACGCAGCTCGGCCTCAAAGCCCGCCAGACCTTTTCCCGCTTCGAGTGCCGCTCCCTCGAAAAGGAGCCCGACGCGCGCTTTGACTACTTCGTCTCAGCCATCCTCCCCTCCCTCATCAAGCGCGCGAGGGACACCTCGGGCACCCTCATCTTCATCCCCTCGTACCTCGACTTCGTCCGCGTGCGCAACTACTTCTCCGCCAACCCGGCCGTCGCCGCCCTTTCCTTTGGCACAATCTCCGAGTACGCCGACGTGCCCGAGGCCTCGCGCGCCCGCTCTCACTTCATGACGGGCCGGCACAAGGTACTGCTCTACACGGAGCGAGCGCACCACTTCCGGCGGACGCCGATCCGCGGCGTCCAGCGCGTCATCATGTATGGCCTGCCGGACAACCCAATCTTTTACCGCGAGATCGCGGGCGACTACCTCGCGCGCAGCGAGCAGGATATGAGAATCGAGCCCGGACAAGGTACCGTGCGCATCATGTTCTCAAAGTACGATGTCATGAAGCTGGAGCGTGTGGTTGGCACGCAGCGCGTGGGCAAGATGATCCAGGAGAAGGGTGATACCTTTGATTTTGTATAAGAAAAAGGAGAAAGGCAAGATAGATGTGTTTTGCTACCATGTTATGGCAGAGGTTAAAAAGTTGTCTTTTTTGGAGCTTCCGTAGTATACATGTATACCCTACACGACAGTAATCTATAGACTGGCCAGGTATTTCCCTCTTGATAATACACCATTCTTATCAGTTACACATTTTTGTCACGCCACATCGTCCTCTATGCTCCGAACAAACTCTTTGCTCTTAGCCTGCGGACGACACACCTCCTACATCGGCTGAGATTGCATCAACCAAAAGACTTGACTCGGCTTTACGCCTTCTTGGCCTTGACCTTCTCAGCCTTGACCTTCGCCCCCTCCAATAATTCCTCCTTCCTCGCCGCCTTGGCGTCCGACCGGGCTGTGAGCAGCCTGAAGCTGGCCACCATGTCGTTGAACGCCGTCTTGCCGTCCTTGCGGTACCTCGTCACCTTGGCGACGTTCTTCTTGGTCAGGTCGGTGCTGCGGTGGCCGGAGTCCTTGTCGTGGGCGACGGCCTTGGCCGTCATCATGAAGCGCACGTCGCGGGGCCCGTCGACGAGCTCGAGGATCGCAGAGGGCGCCTGGTCGTAAGTGCTCCGGGGCTCGGTGCGCAGCACGCGCGTGTAGCCTCCCGGGCGCTCGGAGTAGCGTGTGCGCAGCTCGCCGAAGAGCTTGGGGAGGAGGTCGTGAGGTGTCTAACGTCATGTCCTTTTGTCAGTTTTGATTTATTCTTTTTGAACTCCTTCTCTGGTCGGAGACCAGTAGGTGCTTCCATCTCGAAGAGCTGTCGAGACCGCTAGGGATGTGTGTACAACTCACGTAGAGAATCGCCTGAGCTTTCCGCCTTGTCTCCTCGTTGTCGCGCTTCGCGTAGGTGATGAGCTTCTCAGCGAGACGCTGGGCCTCCTTGGCCTTGGCGAAGGTGGTGTGGATGTGCTCGTGGGCGACGAGGGAGGTGACGAGGCCGCGAAGCAGGGCCTGTCGTGCCGATGAGTTGCGGCTCAGATGCCTGTACTTGGTGAGACCTCCCGCCATGGCTGCTGTGAACGTGTTGAAGTCGTCTCAATTGAGAGAGCGGAGGGAGAGATATTGGCGGGAGCAATCCGTTTCGTTTCGTCCGTGAGTCGCAGAGGATTGGCTGCTCTGCGAGGTGAACAGGTCGCGGGACTTCGGAGCAGTTGAGGTTACTGAATCGAATGGGATCGTCAAAAAGCCGTGCTGATAGCCTTTGGAGTCGCTGCAATCCGCCGGCTGTCGTCTGCGTCTCCCAAATTTTTGGCGCAGGGTATTTTGGAGCCTCTGGTTGGCTTAGCGGAACAATTAGGCGGGGACTGTAGTTCACTGTTCCTGCCGCCAAATGCTAAGGTGGTAAAAAAGGTACATTGACCCCTGCGCGTCGCCGAAATCCACCCGGGGAGGCTGAAAGTCGCTCGCAAGCCCGATTAATTAACGTCATTCCGCACCGAAGCTGCCCGTCCCGCTTCTCGGAGGTCAATTCAGTGACAAGCGATAACGCCAACTCGGTTCGACTTCCTACGACGTACTTGCTCCAATTGCATCATGAAACCTTGAGGCCGAACACAATCTACGGAGAGGAACTATAATATCAAACTCCAGTCTTCAATTGCGCCCGTCGCATTTGGACTGGATCAACAGCCATCATGGGCTTCACCACTGGATTCGTACGCTACACTCACTCATCCTCTCTCTCTCTCTTTCTTTCCTCTTCACTCCAGAAACCAATGACGGAGAGATTATACACCCACAACTGGCACATCGTATAGCTAACTATCATACCTCATCATATAGACCGGCGGTGTAACCGTAACCCTAGGCGTAGCCTACCTCACAGTCCTCGCCCACCAACGCAATCGCGAAACCCAATCCCACACTCTCCGCACCCAACACCACGTCCTCTCCTCCCTCCTCGAGCCCCAGATCCGCACCCCCCCGCCCCTGACCCGCGCCGAGCAGGCCGTCAAGGACCGCGAGACGCTCCTCACCTCCGCCAAAGACCGCTGGAATCGCGAGGTCGAGAACGCCGTCCGCTGGGCGCAGCGCACCGACTGGGGCGAGGTACGCGAGGGCCTCGAGAGCGGCGCCGCGCGCTTCTGGGGCGGCACCATTGAAAAGGCCGGCGAGGCGGAGCAGGCCGTCGAGAAAAGGGCCGTCCCCTTGGCCAAGGAGGCTTCGGCGAGAGGGACCGCCGCTGCGGAGGCGTCGGGCGCGGAGGTCAAGAAGGAGGCGCGTAGCGCGTGGGAGCGCGCGAGGGAAAAGAGCCTGGCTGCCGAAGAGGCCGCGCGCGCCAGGGCCGCCGAGGCGAAGAAGATCCTCAACGCCAAGGCCGCCGAGGCCAAGAAGATTGTCGACAGCAAGGCCGCCGAGGTGAAAGCCGTCGTCGGCGACGTGGTGGACAAGGGGCGGCAGCAAGGGGAGGCGGTGCTCGTGGCGGCGAAGCAGGCGGTGGGCGTGGCCGAGGACAAGGTCACCGTCAAGGCCGACGGCGCGGTGGCGCCCGCGACGACGCCGGTGCAGAAGGCGCTGCACCAGCGGTATGAGAAGCCGAGCGGGTTGACCAAGAGCGTCAAGGAGGTGCTGGCGGAGCGGTACCGCAAGATGGACGAGCAGGATAATACGCAGCTTCGGGGTATCTGATTTTGCGCGGTTTGGCTCTCCCTCTCCCGCGCGACGGGAGGAAATCGGGGTGGTGGGGATTTTGTACTACCAGACCACACACATATAGAATGAAAAAAACGGCAAGCCTCTTTCTTTTTTCTTTTGTGGAATTTGTCAATTTTGTTCTTTTTGTTATCACCGGGGGAAGTGGGACGTGGATAGGTGTGCGTGGCACAGCCGGGCCGTTCGATCTGGATCTCATTTGCCTACAGACATCAGTCAGGGAGGGGGGGTTCGCGGAACGGTGGACGAGATCGAGAAGACTGAGGCTTCACGGAGGACAAGACAGCTCAGCCTCTTCCAACCTCGCCCACGACCAAACTTGACCTCGAAAAGCAGATCAACCCTTCACAAACTCGAGGTTTCAACGCCATCATCAACTCTTAAGTGCGAAACATCTGTCCCAATGACCACCACATCTCACCAACCCCCCAATCCCCAACCATGTCCACCACAACATCAACACCAACGGCCCCGAGCGACCCCGACCCGCATCTTCATCCGCCTCCGCGACCGCCTCCAACTCCTCCTCGAACGCTTCGTCGACGGGGACACCACAGCACAAGCCGGCTTTAGAACCTACAAGACGCACCGGGACGCGAGGTGGCTTGCCAAGGATCGGGGCCCGGCGTCCGCGGCGCTCGTTGCCGTGTCGAATACCAACGATGATGAGCCAGTCCGCCGTCGCAGCCGCAAGCAGAGTCCGGTCACGCAGCAAGGAGATTTGTCTGTTGCGGGTGGTGGTGGTGGCGGTGGTGATGAGCTTCCTCGTGACGATGTTGGTGAGGGGCTGGTTATTCCCAAGACCAGGGAGAAAGGCAAGGAAAAGCAGACGACGGGTACTCAAGCCCACGATGCTGGGAAACCTTTTACTTTGGAGACAACATCACCAGACGGGAAAGAAAGACGTCAAACCAGAACCCCTTCCCAGCCGCGCAGTCTCTCCAGATCAAGTACCCTCTCATCCATCGTCTCCTCGACCTTCCTGAGAGGAAGCCAGAGACAGCGAAGGAGGAGGAAGAGGGAGAGGTCGGACGCTAGGCCGGGATACTTTGATCCGGGGCCGTCACCGGCACTCATCGAACCATTCCGCGCGCAGACATCCGTGGCGATGAGAGATGTCGATGATAGGTTGGAGATGAATATACCCGTTGAGCTGGCGAGGAGGTCTTGGAGTGTCCCTGTTGGTACTGCGAGGTGACCGTATGAGAATAAGCCAGGGCTCACTTCCGTTTTGTCACAACCTGGAAGCGCAAGGGGCAGGTGGTTGAGGGGTCGAGGGGTCGAGGGGTTTATGAGGCGGCTGATGAAATACAATTTTTCCTCGACCACCCTTTACCTTTGATTCGCTTTTGAACATATGCCCTACCGATGAGGTTTTCTTCTTCTTCTTCTTCCGTTCGAGTTTCATTACAGAAGTTTAAGTAGCAGTACGCATCATGCAACGGAAGTGATATCCTCGATCCAGCACATACATCAACTCAATCCGACGACACAGGAGCTTTGGCCCCAATAATGAACCATATCCATATTTAACGAATGTCAAAGGCTTGCTGTTTGCCTCCATCACATTACTACTGCATAACGTATAGGAAAATGGTATATAGCACAGTACCGTACAAAGTGCGTCTGAAATGGGGGATGAGACCAAGGCTTGTCTAGCCCCTTAAATCCACGTCCCCTATTTCCATCTCAGCAACATGAGTCCCTTCACTCCAAGCGAGTGTGTCCAACGACAAGTCGAAACTTTTTTTCGTGTCCCCCAGTATTCTCTCCAAGGCAGGTCATATCTGAAAGGGGACTAAACTTACAAGCAAAGGAAAAGTTGCGCGAGGGCATGTGTTGTGGTGAGGTTGTGGTTTTTTTTTGGTAAGAAAAAAACAGTGACAATCGCACTTGGAAAAGTGTGCTTGGGCAGAGAGACGAAACAGCGGAGGTGAAGTGTGATAAACGCTCTTTGTGTTTGAAACTCATTCTTGCAACCCATAACTTCATCCGATCAAAGTCCTAAGAACGCCTTCGCTGGGTTAGGGTGTACATACTTACCAGGGCCAAGACCCATCTCAACAACGCACCTGTAGCACCTTTCGCGCCGAGCCCCAAGACGAGCTTGAACCAGTAACCAAGCCCGCGGACCTGGAGACCATTGCGGTCAAAGTCGGGCTTGTCATTTGTCATGCCTTGGAGGCGCTTGAGCTCCTTGGGGGAGTACGGCATGTAGCGGACGCGGATGAATTTCTCCAGCCACGACGGAGTCTGGGCGACGGAGCGGCGGTGGGTGAAGGCGTCAAAGGACGCGCGGCCGCGGTAGTTGCCCGTGCCGGAATCACCCACGCCGCCAAATGGGACAGTCGACATGGAGGCATGGAAGAAGCCGTCGTTGATGGTGGCACCGCCAGAAGTCACCTCATTGAGGACTTGAAGCATGTTAGTACAGTCACCCGACTAGAGAATAGAGGGCTTTACTCACTTCTCTTGCTCTCCTGATCATTGCCAAAAGCGAAGAGCGCCAAAGGCGTCCTGTATACCTGGTTCGCAATGTTGATTGCGTCGTCGAGGGTATCATACGGCATGATGGCGAAAACTGGACCGAAAGACTCATCCTTCATGACGGAGTCGAGCATGGAATCGACCAGTACGGCGGTAGGCTCAATGTAGAGCTGGTCCTCGTCCAGACCACCACCCATGACGATCTTTCCGTTTGTCTCGTCAATCATCTTCTTGATGCGCTGGAAAGACTTCTTGTTGACAATTCGAGAGAAGTCGGGGCTATTCTTGGCGCCGCTGGGGAAGAACTCCTTGTAAGTAGCATTGAGGCCCTGAATGAGTTGCTCGACGATGGCACGGTCGGCCAAAATATAGTTCTGAGAAATGCAGACCTGGCCGGCGTTGAGGCACTTTGACCACATGAGACGGCGAGCGGCGAGCTTGACGTTGGCGTTCTTGGTGACGAAAGCCGGGTTCAGACCACCCAATTCGAGAGTGACAGGCGTGAGGGTCTCGGCAGCCTTCTTGGAAATGATCTTGCCGACAGCAGTGCTGCCCGTGTACATAATCTTGTCCCACTTAACGTCGAGAAGAGCTTGAGTCTCCTGGACGGCACCATTGATGACGGTGTAGGCCTTGGGGTCAAGAGCAACCTCGAAGATCTTGGTCAGGACCATGGCGGTGGCCGGGGCGCTCTCGGAAGGCTTCAAGACGGCGGTGCAGCCAGCGGCGATGGCGCCGATAATGGGAAGAAGGGTCAACTGAACGGGAAAGTTGAAGGCGCCGATGACGAGAACCATGCCCAGGGGCTCCTTGCGGATGCGCGGCTTCAGGGCGGCGTAGGTGAGAGGCACATCCTCGCACTTCTCCTCGGCGGCGAACTTGCTGAGGTTCTTGAGCATGTAGAGACAGTCATTGGCGCACCAGTCGACCTCGGAGAGGACGGCCTCGTGCTTGCACTTCCTCAGGTCCTTGCGCAGGGCATCGCAGAGCTGTGGGGAGTAGTCCTTGATGGCCCAGTAGAGCTTACGAAGCTGGAGGGTGCGGTACTTGAGATCCTTGGTCTTGTTAGAGCGGAAGGTGGCGCGGATGGTGTCTGTGAGGCGGTAGATGTCGTCGGTTGAGGTGTGAGTGAACTCGGCGATCTTTGTGTCCGTTGCGAGCGACATTTTGATGGCGATGAGATGTGCGATTCTTCAGTGTGTAAGGGACGGGGCTTCTTTCCTGGACTTCCTTTGTTGCGATGAACCGGACCTAGGGAGAGGAAAGGTTCGTGAGGGGAAGTTGGCAATGGTCGGGATTCGGGGTCGCGGAAAAGAAGAGGAGGTGGTGTTGATGGTGGTGGTGGTAGATAGAGTTGTAAGGGTTGCCTCGACTTATGTAGTCCGAGTAGCAAATATCAGCAGCCAAGCGGATGCAGAGGGTGTCGGTAGCTTTGTAGGGGAAAAGTGATGGATGCGACAAAGCTCCACCTTGTGCTCGGCCTCCGTGTCGCGTGGGTGTGATGGATAGGTACCTTAGTTCGTACGTGAAGTGAGGTACCGTGTAGTAAGGTAGGGTAAGGTAGAGAGGCGCCTTGGATGGACGGGTAGGGACTTCCGGGCTTAGAAACCTCGGCGCATGAGATGGCCTAACAGGTGAGGTATCTTATGAAGGAGGACGTAAGGTAGGTTAAGGTCAACCGGGTTCCTGGGAGATGCTGAATCGTTTGGCGATTGTCAATTTCTCCTTTCTGGGACGTTGCTAGCAAGAATGTTATCCCGTGGATAACGCGGAAAAGGACTATCTGCAGTATATTGGGTGCAATGACTGATGCCGGGATTTGTATGATGCGAGTGCGAGTGGTGATGTATTACGTGTGTAACCCGTACAGCAAGGAGAGGGGACGGGATAAGGTGAACACTGGTGAGGGAAGGCAGGGGGAGGGGAGGCGAATGCGCTGCATTGCACGTTGGAAACGAACTCGTTTCCCCAAGAAGGCGCGGCCAGGGAAGCTACGGGAACGGTGCGGTGCGCTAGACGCATGTGAACGGCACCCAGCAGCTCTGCTATCCTTCTTCCTTTTCCCCTCATGGTATGCTTTATTACCTTAGGTAAGGTATTGACATAGAGAGAGCTACGACTGATCCGTACCGAATGGCGCCGCATAATAGGACGGACAGGGAATGGAGGCATAGATGTCCCGACGGAGCGGACTGCGACGGGGACACCGTCCCATCCCATCCTGTCCATGTCCTGCGCTGTGGTCCATCTGCCAACCGCTTCAAGGTGTCTTTTTCCATTACTATTACTATCGCGGTCATGGAAGCCCTTCGTTCTTCTCTAGTTTGTTCCTTGCTCAAGCTAGAGAACCTTTCAAAGAAGCTAATAGCTTCAGGTGAACCGTCCATCCTCACGGTCCATGTCAGATAACACTTAACAAGATTGACGAGCGCATGCTTGAGCTTTGAGGTTTCCTTAGCTAAAGTCCGAGGCAAAAAAGCTTGGAGCTCTATCTAGCCAGGTCATGCCAGGGCTAACTTGCTTAAGACGGGATCGCCCAAGACGGCGCCGCCGCTCGCCAATCCCGCTGCTCCGTTTCTTCCCCACATAGGCACAGGGCGCCACCCCCTGCCCATTTGCACCTGCACGATCTGGTGCTGGCCTGCTGTGAGGTGCCTGCAAAAAAAAAATGGTGAGCGGACTAAATAAAATAAAAAGTTGCCGAGGCATCATCACCCAACACACTCGCAATCATTGCGGCTGACTAAACGCCAGGAATCCCTGTCCCTTGAAAAGGCGCGTCTATTTTCCCAACTCATGTTCAGGTCCCCCCCTTTTTTTTTTTTATTCTCGGTCGGTGCACTTAATCTGATTTTAACCCCATTGTTTCTCTCACCGTCGATTGGGCAAAATAGACATGGTCGCGGAAAGCGCGTGGGTTCCATCCCGGATTGCTGTTCAACGAGATATGCATATTTGAATGGCATTGACGGTCGATTTGTTTATTAATCAGACGTGAATAGATGTGCGAAAGAAGGAATTGCAACCCTTAAACTTTTTGGTCGTCAGTACAAGCTTCCGGTCATATAAGCTTAGGACACAAATGAGAATGGCGGGGAGGATGCTGTCAGAGCAATCCATGGTTCCGCTCATTTTTGACAAGTTCTGCTCATCAGCCGGCATCATCCTACGGCCAAGCCGCTACCGATGAGAAAGCTCTGACTTGTCAAATCAGAAAACATTGATACAGGCACCCTAACGCAAGCCACCGTTGTTTTTGAATTTCTATGATTCCAATCTGGCACGGATGTATACATGGAGATGTTACAAGGGCAGGCTACAGTCCCATAAACGGGACCACGCCGCCTAGTCATACACAAGATTTCTGGTTTCCCCCCGACCAAGTCCGAAAAGACAGACCTTGGGCAGGAGAGACACCGATTCTGCGGCAATCAAGCCGAGCAGTGGTAGTGGGTGATTGTGCAAGTACAATCTACCCTTTACCGACGGCCGAGACCCTTATGCTTATTACCGCCCCGGCCCCGGACAGCCACCATCTCAGCCACCTTGCCCTCCGTCTCGGGCGACGGCGCCGCGAGGAACTGCTCAATCTTCTCAGTGCCATCGATGACCTGTCCCTCCTCCAGCTTGCCCGCGTCGATCTCGAGCGCCCGTAGGCGGAAATCGTCGAGCTCCTTGCGGCGCTCCTCGTTCATGCGCCACTCTTTGGGGAACTTGGGCTTGTTCTTGAAGACATGGTGCCGCGTGTCGAGGGGGATGTCCTTGAAGTCATCCTTGGGATCCTGTTGTAGTGTTTTCCATTGTCAGTCCTTGGTTCTCGTAACAAAACTTGACTTGACAAGCGTGTATTGGGGACATGTATGGATGTGTAATGTGAACAGAAATGCTGACCTTGGCGCTGGCAATCAGGTCGTCCACCAAGTTGGAGAGGTACCGCTTATTCTGCGCCTGATGCTCGTATTTCTCCGAGCTCATCTTAACCACGTCCGTCTCGGGGTTGTACCGCGGCCCGACAAGCTTGCGGAGCTTGTCCGCCTGCACGTCGGTGAGCCCCAGGTCGGCCGGCGAGAATTGCACAACCACCTTCTTCTCCGCCGGGTGGTGCTCGCCCATGTACGACGTGTACCGGAAGCGCAGCACTTCGTCCTCCTTGGGCGGCTCGAAAGGCTTGGCGAGCTCTGTTTGGATCCATAGTCAGCACATCATTCGTTACGTCCAAGAAGGAGAGAGGGAGTAAGGGGGTGGGGGGTTCGGAGAGCTGAAGGGAGAGACAGCAAAAAGAGGATTGCAACGTACTGGACAGCAGCGGCATCTCCCACGCCATGATGCGGTGGTAATGTCTGTACTCGCGAATCTCATCCAACTTCCCGTGCGCCATGGGCGTGATGTCGTCCTCCTCAAACTCCTCCAACGTGGGATCTATCGGCGCCGTTGGGTCATCTTCATCGTACCAAAACGAGTTCCTTTGAACCTGCTGCTTCGGCGTCTTCGTTGGCTGCAACGGCGGGAGCGGCCCCTGCTTCGCCATCCGCGCCTTCAAGGACTCGGCCACCGACATCGACTGGAACTCGGAGTCTTGCTTCTGGAGCCTCTCGAGCTTCTTCACCTCCTCGGGCTTGAGGCGCGCCACCAACTCCTCGACGGTCTCGCGCTTGCGGTCGTATGGGTCTTCGTAGTATTCTTCGCGCTCTTTCCGTGCCTGTTGCGTGGTGCTGGCGGTAAAGGCTCGTCTCTGGGTCGTCGTCGCCGTCGCCGTCGTTGTCGTGCGGCCTGCGGCGATGCGCGGCGTCGATGGCATCCGACGACTGCTGCGGACGCAGAGTCGGAATGCTTGCCCTGTTGCTGACATGTTGGGCGTGGTTCCGTTTACATTGGCCAAAGGACAATGCTGCTTTTCCTGAAATTGATCGCGCACTGCTAAGATGGCCAGTTGGGAATTGTCCCCGGAAATTTTTGGATCAAGCTCCAGCCACATCCACCCCAGCGAGCCACACATGTGGGTCACTATGCGGTTGCCAACGCCACAACCAGTGTAATTCATGACAATCATCAGTGGAAGGGAAAGCGTCAGGGTGTTCGAGTGGGCAATGCCACCTCTCCCTGAACTTGAATCACTTTGCTGAATGAAATTCTGACTCTGAATTTATCATTGACTATTTGCTGCAAGTTCTCGTTGAGATTTTCCAATCTCTTAAGTGTACTTCATAGTGCATCCCACGACGACCTGCCGATCAACTTATAGAGTGAGATGATTCGAGGATGCGTCGCAAGAACATTCGATAATATCAGCATCTGGTTTCCCAGATACAATGCATGCTCAACAACGTTATTGCGTGTTCGACTTTACTATTATCATCGGTGACTAGTTCTAAACGATCAAATAGTCTCTTCTATGTTAGCACTTCTCGATTTTGCAGCTAGGTCAACTACAACGCTCTGAATCTTCTTCCACACTCGAGTTCACGAAGAATATTTCGAGGATCATATCAAAACTTTCATTATGGTATCGTTAACTCCTTGCCTATGTCAAACAACGTCACTCCGTCACATTATCCCCTCAACTGCGTCATGCCACTCAAAATCCTGACGGTCTCCGGTTCATGATCCCAGTGCTGAACTGCTTCGCCTTATCCAATGTGTTTTTCATCCCCAAGAAAGAGGAGCGATGTGATTTCATATCAGGCCTGCTACGGAAAACGTTAGCATCTGCTATCATAGATGACGGTCTTAAGAATTGAGAGAAAACTCACCTTCCATCCTGACCAACCCATTCCTGCTGCTGTTGCTGCTGCTGAGGCGGAGATCCACTTATCGAACCAAAATACGACTGCTGCTGTTGACTACTCGCGAGGGGCGGACTATTCTGCCACGCGCCCGGCGGTTGGAACGGCAAATCCGGGAACGGCTGTGTCTTCTGTGGCGGCGTCGTCCCCGGGCTGTGCGTCGGTCTGTCGAACGACGACGGGTCGTACGGGGCGTGGTAATCCACCGACATCCGGCCAAGATTGGCCGCAGATGCGGCCGCGGGGGGCTGCGAAGAAGAAGCGAGGTGTGTCTGGCTGGCGGCGTATCCCGCTCCTCCCTGGTACGCAGGCGCTCCCGGGTACGAAGTCGAGTTCTGGTACGAGGGGCGCATGTCCATACTCGCCCTGCGGAGCGCAGCTGACGGTGCTGGAGGCGAGAATTGGCTGTTCGACAAGTTTGACGGCGCGGGCGAGGCGTTCTGGGTGTACGATGCGCCGAACGTCGTCGTGTTGGGCGCCGGCTTCCGTCGGATCGGGGCCTGGCCGGGCGAGAGGAGCGGTTCGCTGGCGGGCAGGCTCTCAGCTTGCGTGGCCCACTGCAGCGTCGGCTGCTTGACAAAGGCGGGCTTCGCGTATGAGTCCATGCGGGTGAGCTGGTCGAACTCGTAGTGTCCCAACTGCTCCTCCAGCTGCACCTGCTGGGAGTATCTCCGCTGGGAGGGCAGTTCCGCAATCGTCGTTGGCGGCATCTCCACGGGCTGCTCTCGCTCCGGCACCTTTTCTGGGCGAGGCGGTGGTGAGGTGAAGTTTTGAAGCAACGATACCTGAGTGACGAGGGCGGCCTCGAGCTCCTCGGATAGCTCTCTCACGGGCCGGTAAGCACTTTCCTCGGACGCTGTGTCGTCGACTCTCTTGGCGCTGTTGGGGAACGACTCCGTTCGAGGGGTATCTTCGTCGCTGCCCTTGTCATTGTCTTCGTCGAAGACGTCGCCTCTGTCCTCGGAGCTCGTTGGCTGCTTGTCATCTTGACTCTGTGCCGACTTTGCATCCTCATCGTCGTCGTAGTTGAGACCCTGGTGTGCAATAGCAGCGCTACGGATCACTTCAGTCACGGCCGTGTTACCATTCTTCATAGCCTTGCTCAAAGCCGCCATGAGTTCTGAGACGCGTTCCACGAGCACTGCTGTGCAGTCCTCATCGTCACCATATTGTATGGCTGATTGAAGGGCGTTCTCGTTATCCTCGTTGACGTGGAATATGTCGGCGCCATTATCCAAGAGAAACCTCACGCTGTCCGCGTCTCCCTCCCGAGCCGCAACGATCAGGGGTGTGTCGGCCTCCTGGTCAGCTAGGTTGACGTCGGCGCCCGCATCCACAAGAACGCGCAGTGACTCGACCGGAAGGTTGATGACGGCGTTGATCAGGACTGTAGAATTATCCCAGCCTCCAAAGACGTTGACTTCGGCCTTGGCTTTGACAAGAAGCTCGAGAATCGCCTGTTCCCCTTTCATGGCAGCGGCGATGATCGGGCAGGTATCTTCTCCAGTGCCAAGGTCGGGGTTGGCGCCACGCTCAAGCAGGAGTGTGACAATTTCAACCTTGCCCGACTCGCAGGCTACCTGTAGAGCCGTTCCTTGTGGGAAGTTCTCGTTTGTGGTAAGATCATTGACGTCGGCACCTCGGTTGAGAAGCTCTTTGACCACGTCGTAGTGGCCCTCCCCAGCAGCGGCCTGGATAGCCCATCCGTTGGGTGCGTCGACATCGGCACCTCTGTCCAAGAGCAATTTGACGATATCAAGGGTGCCATCATATGCTGCAGCAGTCAAGGCAGTCCCGTAGCTGAACATTGTTAGTCTAGTCCTTCCACAATGATGTAGAAGATTAGGTAGCTTACTAGTCTCCAGTGGCATTGGGATTGACTTTGAAGTCATCAATCAGCAACCTGACTGTGGACTCTTTCTCGAGATCCGTAGCCTCATACAGACTCTCGTTGAGGGTCTCCGGTCTGATGTTGCCGTTGGTGTATTTCCAGACGGCCTCCAAGACTTTATCTTGATGCTCCGCCGTAGTTGCCGCACTTAGGAAGAGATCGTTGCAGTCGAGGCCTCTGCGCTGCTCCAGAAGTATCATGACAATGTCCCAGTTCTCCTCCTCTGCTGCCACCTTTAGCGCAGTCTGGAAGCACTCTTGGGGGTGAGAGTAAGTCAGTAACTTGTTGAACACGTCCACTCTGCCAGAGACGGCGGCCTTAATGAAGGCCTTGTCGAACTCCTTGGCCGGGAGCTTGTCAGCGTAGGTTTGCGTGAGGTATTCAAACATGGAGAGGTCTGCGTGGAGACCAGCCAACGCCAGAGGCGAGTCGATGTTCTCGTCCTCGACGGCTAGCGAAACCTGTTTCTCGACGAGTAGCTTGACGGCATCTGGACTACCGGAAGAAATGGCGGCGTTCATGACTGGGCCGACATCACTGGCGATGGCGTTGGCATTTGCGCCCCTCTTTATGAGCTTTTCCATGACTTTAACGTGGCCAGCAAATGCAGCCATGTGTAGTGGGGTCTGCTCGCCAATATCGATACCATCATCAATACTGGCACCTCTTTTGAGAAGCTCATCCACGATGTTTGGTCTGCCTATATATGCGGCAAAATGGAGCTGCCACGGATGTTAGTTTCAAGTCAAAGAGTCCGAGCTGGCAATAATTCAAAGTTAGGATAGAATGTAGCCTTACAGGGGTATTGACAAGGCTGTCCCTCTTGTTGATCTCGTGCTGATGGCCGTTCTGGATGAGCGCGGAGACAAGCTGCTTGAATCCGACCGCAGCTGCGACATGCAAAGCAGTCAACTCCTTGGGTTCAAAGCCATCGAGCACTTTCGTCATGGACATGTAGACGACGAGCCACCGGTAACGAATCAAAGACTCGGTCTTCTTCCAAAAGTCATCCTCGCTGAGATCCTCCGCAATCTCCAACGTAGCTCTGCTGGCGTGGTGCAGCCAGTGCTTGACGGGGTAAGGCAGCACCTTCTCGGCCAGTATTCTCGCCTCTTCGGCCTCGTCGTCTTGCTGGTAGCCGTAGGTGGATTCATCGTCGTCCCAGTCCGTGTCGCTATCCGAATCGTCTTGATCAGAATCAGCAGCGGCGCTCTCCTCCCCATCTGCTTCGGATTCTTCACTCTCCTCGTCCTCGTCCTTGGTGGACTGGGTCTCTGCCTCTTCGTTCTCCTTCTGAGCCTCCTCAACAGGCTTCACTTCCTCAGGGAAGTTGAACGCTTCCTTGATGTGCGCCAAGCACCGCAGCGCAATGATGCCCTGCTGCCACTTGCTTTCGTCATTCGACATACCCAGCGTCTTTCTAGACGTCTCCTTTTCCAGAAGATGTTCCTTGACGACCCTGTCCATGAAGCCGATGGTGTTTTCAGACTTGCCGCTCCTCTTCACCGTCAACAGCGGCCTGCACTTTTTCACCAAATCTTGAAGCTCGGCCTTACCCGCTTCTGTGGCAGGGAAACCCGCCAAAACAACAAGCTCATCCTCGGTTGGCTCCTCAAACGTCAAGACGAGCGTTCGCAGCAGCTCCTTGATCTTGTCGGTATCCTTTTCGTTGGATTGAAAAATCTGCGCCCACGCAGCATCCAGAAGAGCCTTGAGCTCCTGAGGCATACCCTCAAGCATGTGTCTGATTTTGAGATCACTTTCTGCTTCAGGGAGCTCCGCAAGCTGCATGCAGGAAAGCTTGATCCATTGACTGTTGGATGCCCTCTTTCCAATCAGACTGCTCGCATAGTATGTGAGCGCCTTATTGTAATTCTTGGTCTCACCAAGCTCTTGCACCTTCTCCTGTGCCGCCTTGCGCAGCTCCCGCTGAACTTGGTCGCAGTACTTGTCATCCTCGAGATCGATGAGTTGGATTCCGTCCACCTTCAACGAGTCTTCCACGTGATGTACTTCTCTGCTTGTGAGAAACCATCTGGTAGGCACTCGCTTGTCGTCCTCTGTCTTGAGTTCTTGCAGCTCGGCATTGAGAAACCGCATCAACTTGACGGTTGACTCGGCATCTTCAGGCAGAACGTGCAAGTTGTTGATGACGAAGTAGACTCTGCGACCAATGAACTCATCTGTGAGAATATCCTGCAGAGTCTGCCACAGGTTCTCCACCGTGAGGTTCGCCGAAGTCTTTGACGAATCTTCGCCCTTCTTCTTCACAAAGTGCTTCGCGTACACAGACAAGGTGGCTTGCTGGCCGATGAGCTGCCGCACCAACGACTTGAGTAAGTCTTCAGCAGTCAAAAAGTCCGAAGACGGGTCGCAGAAGAAGTACGCAACGAGGGCGGGTCCTCGCCCGTGGTTCAACTTTTCGTCGGCTGAGATGATGTTATCGATGTCCTGGAGGGCCGCCATAGTCGCTCGCGTCTTTCCTCTGCCCTCTGGACCGCGGACGTACAGCGCCTGTCCTCTGTGCTTCAGTGTCGCGCTCCCCGCTTCGTGTTCCTCTTTCAACCACTCCAAGTATGCCTCCGCCTTGGGAATCCAGATCGATGGGGGGAATTGAGGCGCAAGCATTTTGCGCTTCTTCGAGACTTGACCGCCGTTCAGCAACTCCATGACATTGTTGACAACCTCTGGCTCGATTCCACGGGTTGAGTTGAGTCTGTTTTTGGCTACAAGATTGGCGCCATGAATGAGTCTCTTAAGCGGCTCTCTGACGAGTTGGTACCGGGGGTCCTTGAAGTCGCTAAACTTTACAAGATCTCGATGATTGGCGGCAAGACCCATCTCCTGGATCCCAGGTAATGTCGCCGACTCTCTGGAGACGAAGTCTTGCAGCTTCTTGGAAACAACCGTCTTTGCGATTTTCGACATGGTCGGGCCTAGCTTTGCTTGGGTAAAGTCCGTTGGGTGATTCTCGTAGAAGCAGAAGAGCTGGACGGCTGGGCTCATTTTGGCAGCTAACCGCAGCAAGTCGCCTCGGAGCTCGTTCAAGCTCTCGTCTCCGGGCTTCATCATATCCACCAACGCCGACGACTTGGTATATCCAAGTTGTTCGCCGATATTGCCCAGCATGGAGGCGACAGCGGCAACTTGAGCACCACCGAACGGCGTTCCAAAGAAGGCGCATCCAGCGATGCACTCAAATAGCCTTGGGAAGATTTCCCTGTATGTTTCTGCTGCAAGCGTGATAGCCTTGACATTCCGTCAGCCTCAAATCACTTCATTAATTGAATTCGTAGCCGGGTTCTTACCTTTGCGATAACCAGGCCTCCCATGCTGTGTCCGATAAAGACGATGGGGCGATCTCTTATTTTCTAAATCTCGGATTAGACCAAGCTCGCGATTCAGACTTCAGCACGATCGACCTACTTCACGATTTGCTTGCAGCCCTTCCAACATTGATTTGGCAATGTCTCTCAAGAAAGTCTTGACTTTGAGATCCCCAACCCATGCTGATTCATACTGGTACAAAAGTATGCGAGCCTTGGGGAAGTCCCTCGCCAGTCCATCCTTTTTGCTGGTAGATTCAGACGAGTTTTTCGTAACGCCCTCATAGATTCCGGTTGCCCAGTTGAAGCCGGCTTCCGACTTCCAACTGTCCTCGGGATGAGCACCTAGTCCAGGCACAAAGACGACGCTATCAATGGTGTTAGACTCTCGAGATACCACCACAACTCGCAACCTAAGCAGATTGGGACATACTCAACATCAATGGTAGAGCCTGTCTCCTTCTGAGGATTGTACAATTCCCTGAAGCCCTGCTGAACCGTCTGATACGTCGTCTTGGGCTTCGGAGCCCCAGGTGCGCCGTGAGGCACCCTTCTCGTTCCCGTGCGGCGGATAGACATGATGTTGGCCACTCGCTGCGAAGAAACATACACAACGAAACGAACCTGACAAAACGACAACGCAACCGCGACTTCCGAGAAACTGGGGATCAACAAGCTTTGAATACGAACCGACCACGGAGCTAGGCACCGGCGTAATAAGCATAGCCTGACAGGGCTGCCACTTTGGGGTCCAAAATGCTAATAAGCCCCCTTCCCTGCAACTGGGCGGCCCGAAACGACCTTAGCGGTGTCAGCCACCCCCATGCATTGTAATCCTGCGATGCCAACGATCGTCCGACTGCGCCAATAGTGTCTTTCAGCTGAACCAAAGCCACCTCTAATTTTGTAGCGCTGTCCCACAAGTAAGCAATTCGTCTCACGCTGCAGTAGCGAGTCCGGGTTCGTCTGTATCTGGAATCTCAACACGGTTTGGTTGCTGCAGGCTGGAAGGCTCTAGGCAATCAAGTCATCTTAAAATGACAGGGGACCGCCACTGTTGGAACCCATGAAATCTCGTTGCCTACTCTTTTTACCAGCCAAATTGGGCTTGTTGGAAAGGTTCTTAATCACGCCGTTGACTATTTTCGGTCGGTCTTTTACCACCGTTGGAGTCGTTCCCATTGCGGGCGCTTCTGCAAGCAAAAAAGGCCTGTCACCAACATCCCGCTTCCCGATAGTGACGGTCTGATAGACTGCGCCTCGGAGGACCGTGATAACACTCGCCAAGATCAGAGAAGAGCGTCGGGACCGGAAGTTATGGGACCAGGCAACGCCGAAGACCAGCATAAAGCAAGATTCGCCGTCCACATGTCAAGCTTCTCGAGTCGCACCATGGACAAGTCGTCTGTGCCCTTTACCGTCCGGGTTCTCGATGACGCCGTCAATCCCACAGGGACAGTGCAGGAGCCAAGAGACTGGAGCGATCTACTACCTGCAACGAGCCGAACCAAGCACGATCACATCACCGTGCCGCAGGCCGACGACATTGAGTTTCTGGAACGAGAGCTGCTCGTCCGACGAATCAATGATGTCCAGGATCTCCTCTGGATCTGCGGCCGTCCAATGCCACCTCGGCCTCTCCATTACCAGACGATATCGCGCGATATCCACATCACAGAGAACCCCGAACTGCATCTCGTCTGGGCGAAGAACCGGATTTTCGTCAAGCCGATACCACGGTGGCTGCTGAGCCCAGACTTCTGGGCCGCCAACTTGGTCGAAGCCTCGGGCAATCAGTCTGATCCACGGAAGCAGCAGCTTGTCTCCTGCGCGCTCGGTTTCCTCTTCACTTACACAGCCCTCATCGCGTACGAGAGCGACTTCCGCATAGCCGTCGAAAGAGGCTTGGTCCCGGATCGGATGAACTGGTACCAATGGAAGGCAATATCGGCCCAGATCGCGCAGAACCATTGTTATGCGTCCGTCAACCCGCGGTATTGGTACGGCGAGCTTCGTCTCAGTCGGCTGAATAAGATTTACCGCATCCGCTTGGGATACCTGCTCCGGGGGTATTCCAAGGTAGTCTCTCACGCCGTGTACGAAGATTTGATCCGGGACAACTTTGCAACGCTGGCGGCGATGCTCGGTTATGTTGTCATCGTCTTGACAGCGATGCAGGTTGGCTTAGCCACGGACAGACTCGTTAGTGACAGTGCGTTTCAGAGTGTGAGTTATGGCTTCACAGTCTTTTCAATTCTTGCGCCACTCATTGCCGGCGTATGTATACTTGGCATCGTAGTGGTCATGTTTGTGAGCAGCTGGGGGGTGACTAAGGTATATGAGAAGAAGAGATTCCAAGAGATGGGTGTCGAGCCATTTTGGAGATCTCAGAAGGCGGACGGTCAGTACATAAAGGTAGATGTGAAGCAGGGAACTGCAGATTTTTAGGGAAAGAAAACAGATGCCCCATAGAGGAATACATAATCGTGATGAAGGAATGTATGAAGTTGAAAATGCCTCGGACGTCGACGATGTGAGCTGGGCTGGTTTTGGTACAGATCAAGGGTTCCCAGCCAGACGGGTAGCCAAGGACGGCCCTAGCTTCCTGGCCAGGGCGTCGATCCCGCCTCTGTAGAGGCCAGCGGCCGCTACAACACCCGATCTGCTAGCCCGTCCCACGACCAATCGGCTGTGCCACAGCGGCCGAACGTCACCCAAGGCAGTGGAAGGTGCCTTTTGGTACCCTTGCCTGTGGAAGTGACTTTCCGTGAGAGCTTCAACACAACCTCAAATCGCCATCCACTCATCCAGACGTCTGTTCAGGAACATCAATTAACCTCGACCACAAAATACCGCGTTTCTCATCGGCGCCTAGCACAACGGTGTGCCGCAAACACATCATGACCGCAAAACCGACCACGCCCCTCGAGCGCCACTGTCTCGTAACAGTAGGCGCAACAGCCTGCTTCACCCAGCTCCTCACTGAGGTACTCTCCGCCGCCTTCCTGGACCATGTCACCTCAAACCGCTACACGCACCTCACACTCCAGTGCGGCAAAGACTATGCAGAATTTTCCCGCCAGATGCTACCTCCGCTTCTAAACCAGTATCCCGGAATTGAAATCACCGCCTTTGACTTTGTCGACGACCTGACCACCGAGATGGTCAAGTGTAGAGCGCAGGCGGGCGTGCGTGAGGCTGGTGTGGTCATTTGTCATGCAGGTAAGCCGGTGTCATCCATCGCGTTGTGAATTGATACTCTTCAGTATATGTATCCGCCTGTATGCATATATGTGTGTGTATATGTGTAAGCTGATTCGAGATATTTCAGGCACGGGAACCATCCTCGACGGAATGCGCGTTAGCGTCCCCCTCATCGTGGTCCCCAACCCAACCCTAAAGGACAACCACCAGGTCGAGCTCGCCGAAGAGATCCAGCGCCAGGGCTACGGGATCTGGGGCCGCCTCGGCGACCTCGCGTTCGCCCTGGAGCAGCTGACCCTGCAGCTCGATAAGACGGAGCAGCAGTACCGGCCCCATCCTGTCGCGACGACGGGCGCGGCTCCGGTGGATGTGGATGTCTGGCAGGTCAGCGGCGCGCTTATGAACCGCTACGCTGATGAACCCATTCCTGCTGCTGCTGCTGCGGCGCCTGAGACGTCTGAAGCGACAGACGGCGGCGACGGCGGTGCTGGAGAGGAGGTCCAGCGGGAGGAGGTGGCGCAGATGACGATGGGCTAGGAGTCTTATCAACACTGGAAGCCTTTCAAATTCCCAGACGAGTCATGGTTGGAAAAGATTGAGGAGAGTACTATGACGAATACTCTATGAAGTTGTAGGAGAGAGGATGGTCGAAGTGAAGTGCATGACATGAAGACTGTAGCAACAAGCTTGCCCCTTAGACAAGAGATACCCAAATTCGAACGGCGTTCATCGTCGAGATAACATCATGTCGCTTTTCATTTATTCATCCATCACCTGTTGTAAACATCTGCAAAACTATCCGCCAAGACCAGCTATTGCAGTCCAGCCACGGTCCAGACCTTGATCGCGGCATCGCCTCCGGCACTCGCAATCTTGCTGCCCCCTTCAACCCACGCAACGCCGTTGACACCATCCTTGTGAGCGTTGAGAGCCTTGACACGGCTTCCAGGCTTGGCCAGACTCCACACGCAAACATTGGTATCCAGAGCCCCAGAGACGGCGTGCGTCGCTGCATCGTTCCAGCTGATGCACGTAACCCTCGCCGTATGCGCAGACCAACGGTCCGTCGCAACCTCCCAGTCGGCAGTCTTGTAGGCGACGATCTTGCCGATTTGGTTGCCTGCGGCAAGGTACTGGCCGTCCTTGGAGAAAGACAGGCAAGAGATAAGAGCCGTCGACTTGTCGACCGACTTTGTCTCCGAGAGCTTGCCGGACCCGTCCGCGGTGAAGATCTTGACAGAGTTGCCAGATCCCACGGCCACCGTCGAACCGTACGCAGCTACAGCGCCGGGTGTGAATCCGAGGCGGTTCTCGGAGAGGAGCTGACCCTTTTGGTAGACATCGACACCCTCGATAGTGGCCACGTACACCTTTCCATCCGTGGCCGCCACGCCCTTGGGCTGGGCAGCAAGCTTGAGGGCCTCGCCCGCAAACGTGTTGGCTGACTCGTCTACTATCCTCAGGTGGTCGTCCCATCCAACACTATACGTCTGGCCCGCCTCAGCGCTGAACTGGGTGACTTGATTTGTGTGCGCTTGTCCGTCAACCACCGAGCCAGTGCCAGTCGCAACATCCCACTGGCAAACCCGCCCGTCGAAGCTACCGCTCCACAGCGTCTGCCCCTTGCCATCAGATGACCCACCCAATGCCGTGATGCTCTTGTTGTGGCCCTGGACGATCTTGCTAGGCTTGTCGCTGCCCTCGTTGAGGTAGATCAAGTCGCCGTTCAGGTTCAAGCTGATGATCAAGCCGTCGGTTCTGCCGTGGGGGAAGACAACGCCAACTTGCTGGTCGCCGATGCTGACGCCGTCTCCAAACTTCCACGTCTGCGTAGCCTTGCCTGACTCCACATCCCAGAGCTTGACAGACTGGTCGGCGCTTGCTGTGACAAACTTGGTGCCATCCTGAGACCATGAAACGGCAAAGATACTGCCAGTATGTTCTCCCTCGCCGATCGACTTCGTAGCCTCGCCCGTCTTTCCGTCATAGAGTTGAATGCGCCTGTCGGCACCAACCGTTACGAGCTGGCTGCCATCGGGTGAGAAGGCCGTTCCAAAGACGAAGCCCTTGTGAGCATTGGCGTTCTTCGAGTTGAACTTGAAAGGCGCGCCGTGCAGGAAGCACAGGGAGCTGTCATCAGAGACGGTCGCTGCCCGCAGCGGACGTTGTTGCCGCACCGCGACAGAGTTGACGACCTTGGAGTGGCCGCTGATCTCTCCGACAGAGTTGCCGCTATCAGCTGTAATGCAGTGGCCGAAGCGCTCCTTGCCGTCACCCACAGCGATGATGCGCTGAGAGTCGCCGTCCCAGCCAATATCGTTGATGCGCCCCGAGATGATGTGGTATTCGCCTAGTAATGTAGTCAGTACCGACCGAAGGAGAGGGAATTGTGGCATGCAGGTATTATGCCGTACCCTTTGTGTTCTCAGCCTCGACGGCGTCCCAGACTCTCACGGATCCAGACACATCTCCACTGGCGACGTAGAAGCCGCTTGGGGAGAACCGGGCGACGCTCGTTGCCGCCGTGTGGCCGGTGTACTGCTTGCAAACGGAAGGGTTATCGATGGATCGGAGGAAGATGGATTTGCCGGCCTGCGACAATGCATTGTTAGCTGTGGCATTGTTCGTCAAGAGATGCAGTTGGGACTAACAGCGTAAGCAATGCGTTCTCCTTTGTTGTCTGTGGAGAGCTGTGTCGGCTGGCCACGCTGGGTAGCGGGCGAAGCAGCCAAGATCTTTTCGATGGTGACAGACATGATGTGTCAACTCCAAAAAACACTGGTATGCAATGCGAATAGATTTCACTAAAGCTCCGAGCAAAGATGATGAAACAATCAAGAGTCTCTGGGAGCGTGAGTTGCGTCGGGGTTCAGCTTTCTAGCCAGGCACCACAATGGCGGTCGACAGTGTCGAGTGGGAACCTGGACCTGGAGCTGGGATGTCGATCCGGGATGGAGGGGCAGTGCTAGTGCTATTGTGTTGCTACTGCGGGGCAGGAATGACGTTCCGCGTCCATCTTACGCCAGCCAACCACTCCCAGTCTGACGCAGCTATTGTCTAGCGATGTTATTGATATTCTAGCATCTACAGACATTGTAATTGCCTAGCCAAAATTGTGATTATCTTGCAATGTATGGAGAGTAAAGCAACAGGCCCCAGCTTGGATTTGGGCTGATGTACATAATTGGCCACCTGAGTGTATCTTATATGATTCATGCACGTCGTGTACAGTACGTTTGTCATTCAGGCATCTATGTCAGAAACCAGTAGGTCGTTTGCACAGCCTGCACGAATACAAACCAAGTCGCTTCACAAGTCAAACGGTTGCTGACCGGTGAGAAAAGAGCCCAGGCTGAAATGGGCCGGGGCTCACTTGGCGTGGGTTGGAAACTGTTGTGGTGCGTTCAGCAACTCCACACAAATGAGGGGTACATAGTGAGTCAAATCACTCCGAAAGTTCATCAAAAGTCGTCGCTTTCCTAGCTCAATTTGGTCAGAGCGTCCGACTTTTAATCGGAAGGCTGTGGGTTCGAGTCCCACGGATCGCGTCTATCCTTTTTGCAATTCTTTTTTTCCTGTCTTTTGCCAGCTGCTTATACCAAACGTTACGAGTGTTTTTGCGATTGCATTGTCAGAACATGAAAGACTAGTTGGTCGTTCTGAGTTTTTTATTTTTATTTAAATACGTTGCATCACACATTAAAAACCACATCCCAACGATACTGAGAGGTCTTAAGTAAAAGCAATCGCAGAATGACGAACTCTTCACAGGGTTACCTGCCCAGCCAATAACGCCCACGACAATGTTCAATACATTTACTTTACTCACAAATTGACATCGCTACTGTAAATTTGCATCATGAAGCTTACACAGTTCGTGATATCTGTGCTGATGAAGTACTCGCCACGAGTGGTACATTCACATCAGCTACGAAACATCCACATGTCTGGGCTGGACTATTGAGTATAACATCTAAGAAATCCAATAGTTGGCCACCACACCCAACAACAGTGCTCACGTAGCCATCGATAGCATATTAGTAAATCGCACTCCGTCCTCATAAGAGAGGACACCTTATCTAACGGGGTGGCTCTGACCGTACTGCGATGTCCAGACACCTACCATTAAAGCGAAGCCCCCTGCTCCTTCCACGCCTCCCATTCCAGAACCACCAGCCTCATTGTCGTGGCAACAAGCTTGGGATTACGGCGGCTCCTCTTAGCGTTCACTTTACCCTATTCCCGCCCTGGCAGGAGGCTGTAGTAAACGACTTGCGGCACAACGCGAAAGACTCGGCCGTGTGGAAGCGAGGAACACTGATCGAGTAGCTTTTCACTTGAATAAGGCTCACTTGTGCCCTGGAGTCAAAAGGTCATGGACCCGAAGAGACGAGCATGTCGTGGTGGTAAGTGGCACGGTGTCAAGTCAGCTGACATGGTGGATATTGTCCTACATTTCCTTTATACACCGCATCACTGGAAAAAGCTATCTCTTGAATGCATTTTTTTTCTCGTATTGTCCGAACTAATGATGCCCAACACTAGACGGCATGGATCCCTCTATCACGAAAGTCATACAAAGAGGTTCCCTGCCAGATAACCGACCAATGGTGATGCCAGACCAAACGCCTCCATCTATCGTAGCCACTGCCATGAAAAACCATTATCCCCATCCCAAAGACCAACTTTGCTCTCGCTCATGTAGCTTCACTCGCCCGCGTCTATTTCTTCTTGCCCTTGGTTTTGCTCTTGGCAGTGGTGGCAGACTTGTTCGAGGCGACACTCGATGCCCTCGACGGCGCGGCGGATGTGTTCTTGCTTGCAACCTCCGACTTGACGTTGTCCAGCGCTTTGTTCTATATCTTTGGTTAGCAAAGTTCATTCATTCAACCAGTCTAGCACTCGCCTTGACGCCGTTCTTGGTCTTCTTCTTCGAAGGGGCCATGCCGAGGATGCTGTCCTCGTCATTCTCCTCATCCTCGGCCTCTCTCTTGAGCTTGCCGTTGACGCCATTGGCACCCTTGGTCGGGTGAACATCTTCAAACTCCTTGACAATAGTGGTGAGTAGGGTAGTGCAGCGACGGCTCAGCTCGACGGGTGTCCTGCTAAGGAAGAACCAGTCAAATCGGAACAGGGGGCTCTCCGCAATGTCGTCGCGCATCTTCTCGTACAGTCCAGCAGAGTCGATGCCGTACTTATCAAGCAGGACTAGCAAGAACCGATCTTCCTCCTCGGTGTACACCTTCTTGTTGGTGGTAGAAACGGAGTAGTTGATCTTGAGCTGTTGCAGGGGGACGCGGTATTGCGACATCTTCTTGCGGAGCAGCTTTCTCTGGTGCTCAATCTTGCGCATACGCTCCTCACCGTCCTCAATCACCTTGATGTACTTGTTGTAATCGGCAATTTCCGTGTATCGCTGCCAGAAGACCTTGGCATATTGCTTGACCTCGGAGGCAGTCTTATTGTCAATATCTTCGGCAATATTCGCGTAGTCGTTGCGGCCGTAGCGGCCTGACGCGTTGATGAATTGTTGGAAG